AGAGATTGCGATACCACTTATGTCCAAGCTAACTTTTTGTGGATCAACCTGGTATAACTATACAAATACACAGCATAAAGGCAAAGACCATTTAGTAAAAAATGGCCCTCAACCTCTTTCACAAGATTCTTGATAAACTGTTCCTTGTCAATTTTCAACAGTAATTGAGTCCTGTACACCAGGGAACGATGCAAGTTCCAATCTCTAGTCAACCAAGCTTCATGACAAGTATCGTTGGCTTCTAGTGTCTCCTGCAAGATGAAATTCTGTATTGCTCTTAGTTGATCACCAATGGACTTCTGAGTTCTGAGGTATCTCAGGGTTACAGGGTCCATCAGTTTGCTGAGTGCTGTAAAACAACTAGAGATAGCAACAGCAAAACCTGGGCATACTCACTCTCCCTCAACCTGTCCACATGAAAGTAAACAACCAATCTATGGTTAGTAGCACAGAACTTGGCACTTCATCAGATCCTGCTGTTCTGGAGGATCCTCCTGTGAGTGCTAACGAGGATGTGGTTGATCTCCTTGGCTACATTACTTGCATTGCTGTACCATGTTTTAACGATGCTTGTCAGAGCACTGGTACCTAAAGCCGGAATTCCTCAATCTGTGGGACCTTGCAAAGTATTGGAAAAGGAAGCTATCAGCATTAGTTCTCAAGGCCCTGAGAACCATTATACAACTCATAGCTAGCTTGACAAAGTTGCTAAGCACAGCTGTCTGCCACAGATGTAAGTTCAGTGTAAAACACCTGTTTCACATTGAGTTCACTAACATTGTAGGAGTGTACACAGCATTAAGAGATATGAAGTCAAGAGCCCCTTCCTAAATGTCTATGGAGTCTATGTCTTCCAAGAGCTTTGTGCACTCGTGACAAGCCAAATTTTTCCATGATGGCATATTTCTGTTACTTACCCCTCATGGAACTTTTTTTTATGACTTTACTGTCACATCACATGGGTCCAGTGGGTTAGTATTTGATTCTTTTTATTATCAAAATCATGATTATTATAATGTTATTAACAATAGTATGAAATCATATTTCCAAAAATCAAGGACTAAGCACTTCAGGAGCCAAAATGTAAGTGAACATAGCATGTTTGTAGATGCTTTCCACAACAGCATTGGGTTAAGAGTGTCAATAACAGTATGTGAAATGTAGGGTTAAATACCAAGCTGGCTATCCTACACAAAAGAAGACTTCCATGCCTAAGCCTATAACCACACCCACACTCATATACCCATTTTTATATCCCCACACACCCACACATTCACATACACTCATATGCACACTATTTTGTTCCTTGATCACATTTTTTAAATGTGTGATTTGTCTGGCATAGGAAATGAAACTGCTTCTGATTAATAGGATTTTCATCAAAATAGGTAAAATTTACATAAAATTTTAAAAATTTCCATAAGGTTTCTTACCAATAAGTAAAAGACATTATAAAATTATTTCCCTCCCAATCCATTGTTCATTATTGTCATGGGGGGGTTTAGGAGACAGAGACTGAGACCCAGTGCCCCTTTTCCTTTTTCTTCTCTTCTTCATCCCCTTATTCTGTCCATTTCCTAAATAAAGTGTGAGAGCCGTGCTGAAAGGATGAAAGGCTGGCTTCATGTCATTCATGAACAGCCTCCGGGTGCCATGGGCGCGGTATTCCCTTGGCTAATTGCCTAGCCCTTACCCCTTATGGGCCCTCCCAATACCTTGTTTGTTGTTGTTGGAGAGCTTAGGAGACGGAGACTGAGGCTCAATGTAGGGGATCACCCCTACCTTGGGCCTCAGCCCTCGCCTGAACTAATTTTACTTGGTCTTTTCTTTTCTCCTTTCCTCTTCTGTATCTTCTTCATCCCCTTCTTCTATCCCATTCCTAAGGTGTGAGAGCCGTGCTGAAAGGATGAAGGGCTGACTTTGTGTCAGTCATGATTGGGCTCCACGAGCCATGGGCACAGCATTCCCTTGGTTAATTGCCTAGCTCTTACCCCTTATGGGAACCCTGAGGGGTAGACTGTTTCTTTTCTCTATTTTATTCAGGCTCACCATGGCCAATAATGAAGATTTTTTACCCTTCAAAGGGGCATTAAAAGGCTTGCCCCTTCACCAACAAGCCTATCGAATTTTGATTTTAATGGTTTTCCAACCCCAGCCCCTACTTTGACCACGGTTCCGACCACTGATACTAATACCCCCTTTGACACTTACGAGCAACTCTAATCATTCCAAAATACCCACCCAGGTTATTACTCAACCTCCAGAAAGCACCCCTTCCCCTCTCCCAACATTCTCTTCTCCATCTCCTATTGCTCTGTCATCTTCAGTGGCTACCCCTCTTCCCTTATTACTACTCTTCATCCTTATTGTCCCCCCCCCACACACAGATGTACTCCACTCCACACCACCCCATCTTCCTCTTGCCCTCATCCTTCTACTGACTCTACCTTTGCAAACCTTCTGAGTACTCTCTTTGGCCCAGCCAAATGGGATCGATTCTTTATGATTCCCCCCACAGCCCCCTATTCTAAGAATACCCTTCTCTTTCAAATGAGGTTTATATTGGTCGATTGTCCTACCATATCCAACCATATTGACCACTTCATTGTCAGTGTCAGAAATGTTGGCATTTTGGTCACCCAGCCAAACATTGTCACTCCACAGCCCGCTGCTTTCTATATGCCCAACCTGGTCATGTTCGTTCAAGTTGCCCTGCTCAGTCATGTACATGTGCCAAATGTAGAGACTCCAATAATGTATTTTATAGGAGCTGCCCTGCCTATATGCTTGAATGTGAGGTAGCAGTCCTCAGATGATTTAAACTAATTCTCACTATGTGAGGCCAGACAAGAAGCATGACAACAAGGTTTTTTCTCTCAACTTATTCCAAAACAGTCCTTCACTCTGCTCCTGCACCATCTTTATAAGACATTTCTGCATCTCCCCCAGTATCTCTCCCCTATACCCTAATCCATCCTACATCTACTCACCCTATCCCCCAGTCAAATTTGTTTTCCATTCTAAACCCAAATACTCCAATCTCTACCACTATCTCGATTCATACCCCTCCCCCTCACTTTCTTTGTCGTACCAGGCAACCTAAACGTTCCACTCCACCCTCTCCTACTACATCCTCTTCTTCTGCTCCTCATAAAAGAACTTTGTTTCTCAGTCCTTTTCACCCACCCCCCCCCAGAAACCACTGAATACATTCAAAACTTCCTAAAGATGACCCAGGGGAACAATCCCTGCCCCCCCACTCAGGGGGTCTACTGTAAACATATGTTTGTTCCAGAATCTCTGAAGTACCCCTTAAAGGAAGGAAACAGGGTGGGCTTTCACCCCCCTTTTCACAAGTTTTTTTTTAGTGAATTGACTCCCCTAAAAGAAGAGATGTCTGTAAAGTGCCCCCCTAAATGAAGGCATTCACTCAACAAATTTGTCCTTGTCTAAGAAAACCCTCTTAATGTTTTTCTGAACTTAGCAGGTTGAGATGGACTGGTTGTTTATTCCCCTGTTGTCTACTGTAAATGTAAAATCCAACTGAAATTGATCCAACTCAGATTTCACAGTGGGCTAGCAATCGGTAAATGACCAGTCTATCTCAACCTGGTTGAAGTATACCCTTTTTCTTTTTTTTGGGGGGGAGGAAAAGCAAGGAAAACACACCCTTTTTTTTTTAAATTTTCGGGGAATTTTCCCCAAACTGAGATCCGAAAATAACCCCGTTCCTGAAAAAGCAGGAACGCAGATATGGTACAGTGGACCCTCTGAGTGAGGGAGCTGGGGGAACACTCCACTCCTCTTACATTCCCCCAGCATACCTCACCCTCTCTACTGCTCCCACTTGAATACTCACACAAATCCCCTCTATCACAACATTGTCTTTCTCCAGACCCCTCCCCTCCAGACATTCACCACCTTCCACAGTCCCCCTTTCTCATCCCCCTAATTATTCTCCTCCTACTTCTCCAAAAGCCACTACGGTTTTCCTTGAACAATGTCCCTATTCCTTCCGGTCACAGATACAATGCAATTCACTCAATTGCTCTACCCCCTTAACCTTTCCCATTTTACTAATCCCTGCTGTACTTCATTTACTTCCCTCTTTTCTGTTTTCATTACCATACTTTCCTATAACACCCTCTAATCCTAGACATCTAACACCTTCCCCTCTCTCTGGATTATTCTCCTACTTTTCCAACACCCATCTCTATTTTCCTTGAACATTGTTCCTATACCTTCCCCAATGACATACACTATTATTTACTCAATTGCCCTACCTCCTTAACCATCCCCTTTCTACTTATCTCTGCTCCAGTTCACTTACCACTGCTTTTTTTCCCCATTCCAATACCATACTATCCTATAACACTCTAATCTTTGACATCTAATACATAATAAAAGTCTTTAACTCTTCTTTACTCTTTCCAACACATTACTTTCCCATAGTGCTATATGATCTCTGATGTCTAGTACATTTATTTGTTTCAAACATTAAACATGGTAATTTTCAATTTTCCGTAATACCTGTGCCGCCTGTCACAGCAACCAGGAATATGGTGTGCAGCATGGAAATAGTGTCCTTCCTGGAGCCAGCGCTCTTCCAGTCATGGCTTATGCACAGTACATTCCTCATTCGTTCATCGATGGGAATAATGCTAAAGACCCCTTCTAAATGCCAAATGAGTCAAATCACACTCCCAAGAGGTTTGTGCATTCATGGTGAGTCTTTCCATCACCCTGGCTTTGCTCATGACAGCAAGTTCGTGTCACTTGGCCATTTTGCCTGATAATGGCATGTTCCTGTCACCCGGCCCTTGACCCAGATTCTTCCATGGCGGGACTGTAACATCATCCAGATCATAAAGGTTAATCCTTACCACACTACATGGTAGTTCAAAGACAAGAGAAATGGATGTAATAAATATAGAATAAAAGTTTTTAAAAGGAAGTTATTCATAAACTCAAGACAAGAAAGGATATAATAAACAATCCTCTACCAGAGTAAAATTTTATTTTTTCAAAAATAAAATTTATGTAACATGTTAGTTTAATACCAACAACTTATACCCATCAAATGCAAATATTACAAAAATCTTGTTCAGTGTTGTTTAAGAACTATTTTACATATACATTACCAGAGTGCTATAAACATAATTTTTCTGAAACTTGCCATTTTATAATCAGACATTCTGTAAATACATTTGAGCTTTGCAGTTCTTGTGCATCCTTGTAACATTAGTGCAATGACTAATGTGAACAGCATAGTTTTATTTCAATTCTAATTATAAACATACTTCTCAGAGGTCAAATTCCTTGTGAAATATGAGACAAAAATTTCATCTTTACCTTTAATAAGATTTTACTTCAAGGTAAAAAAAAAATTGCTCTGCCACACAAACCTCAGCAAGTTTCCAAGCATTGCATATAATCGTATAATCCACTCAATAAATACAACTAATTGTTGTGCATTTTCCATATGTACATTATCCCCCAAAATGGGGCATTTAATATAGCATTGCTTACTTACAATTTCATTTTTTAATATTGTCAGATTTATCACAAAATATTCTCATCTTTTAGTGCCATAATTATTCTATTTACAAACATTCCATAAGTGGATTGCTTTTGGGTTTTCCTAAATTATTCATTTCGATGCCGAGCAAGTCGAATGAATCTGACAATTAATAATATAAGAAAAAAAAAAAAAAAAAAAAAGTTTTACAAAAATCACAGTCAAAAGGCACCGGGACAATATGCAAAATTAATTACTATCAAGATAAAAAATCTAGTTATTTGATTCTTTACCTTTTCCATTCACACTTTGTCCTATTTGAATATTAATTCATCTGTTTATTTCCTAATATTTAGCAACTAAAAAACATTAACAAAAATGATAGCCATCTTTCCTAATCATTTTATACATAAAATATTTGATGAGCTAGATATCGAATGGAAATAAAGGGACTTCTTTAAACATTTACAGTAGTTAATGGTCTGATTATATTATATATTGGTAGGTAACCACTCTGGAATGTATAAAACATGACTAAACTCTTCATTATGAGGAATGAATGTGAAAAAAAAAGAGATAGTCAAATATGAGACATAACAGATGCAAATTTTGCCTATTCAGCATCTTTAAATTGTTTTCCTACTCAGCAACTGACCTCAAACAAATAAAAAAATAAAATAAAATAAAAACTTTATAAAAAGATGGTTTTAAAAGTTTATTATATGATGTAAAAATCCCATTATTCCCTTATTAAACCTAAATTTAATTATATATATGTCAGGAACTACAAGCACTATACATTCACTTTTGAGTATATAAATGGGGAAAATCACTTTAACCATAACTTTAACACACTAATGTACTGAACATGGAATGATACAAAACTTTATACTAAAACTAAAAACTCCAAGATATAAAAACCCAAATGTTTTGAAATACCGAGACAAGCTAAATGAAGATTCTGTAGTCGTAGATATTAATGTAGGTGTAAATGCATTACTGATTCTGCCATAAGTCACATACAAATATCACTAAGCATAAATAATCATTGAAAAAAATTACTGCAAAGGAAGATGTACATGTAAAGATAAAATAAATTCCATGGAGAAAACCTATGGAAAAGATATCACTTTACTGACAGTTTACACCATATTAATATGACTATAAATGAATTACACAATATGAAATAAAAGGTAACGTAAAAAGTATTAAAAAATGTGGAACCATCATGACATTAAATTATTATAATATATCAAGTATAAATTTTACACACAAAATCTCTACAACTGTTGGTAAATACTGTAAGGATAATGGCAAAATAAATAAAATAGGTTACGTAAAACAGCAATTGGCACATATACATGCCAACCTATAGATATGTAGGATAAAGAATATTATACCTACTTTGTGTATGATGAGGTAAATTACAGAATAAATTTATTTTGAACAACCTATTGACATTTAATTGTTATTGCTTGGTATAAGGACAATAATCAGATTTTGATTGATAAAACTCTCCAAACTTCTTTCAAGTTCCAAACTGTGGAATGATAGTCTTAAAAAATAATTCATAGACAAGATGCACATATATTCTACATCTGGCATGAATCAATAATGGTTTTTCCTTAAGAAGAAAAAAAAAAAAATCTTTAAACATCACCTATACATTGTGCACGCTATTCTCCTCTTTCTTTGTTTCATAACAAAAAGAAAACACAATAGCTTAAAGATCTAAAAAACTTGTCTATTCCACACTGCATGTACAAAACACAGAATCCTTTTTGTCTTTTTTCCTAAGAATAGAAGGTAAGCACTGAGGTCTGGTTGCCACGTATGAGGAGGAACGGTGGCATGTCGCGAGTCAGTGTTTCCAACCAAGCCATGTACAATGGTGCGGAAACAGAGTTCTTGCGGGGCATGGGTAAGGTCCTGTAAGGAAGTAGAAAAAGAAATTGAAATATTTTACATCATACAAATACAAATACTGAGTAACCTATTTTGTCGTAGGATTAACTTATTAACATGATCTACAGAAGGAAATAAATAAATGAATGCATAATAATAATGATAATAATAAATTATGGAATATGTAATATATACAAATATATAAACACACGCATGTACACACGCACATTCTACTAATAATTTTATATGCTATTACCTCTTTTTACCTTGTATACAAACTGGAAGCTACATGAAAGTATTTAAAAAATAAAAAATCCACTAGACTTTAATTTGAATCCTTAAATACAAGTCAAAAAACTAATAACAAAAGTCAAAGTTTAGCATACATCACGACAAGAGAAGCATCTCTAGAGTTCTCGAGGAGGAGTTCACGCAAGCGCACATGGCGATTAGTCTTCTCTCGCTGACCAAGAAGTTCTGCTTCACTGATCACAACACCTGAAAATTGATAAGACATTAGAACAGCCTTTTTTTTAACACAATTCTTATATTCTTCAACGTATTCTAGTAAATATTTACCCATCACTGAAAAAATGTAGTGGTCAGGTGTTCTATTGTAGTTACTAGGTTAACCACCTTGTTTCCATACTTTAAAACCTAAATTGACAATCTAATACCTTCATTTTCCTTGTCAATTTCAACATTGCTCTTGGCTTTGAAGTCTTCAATCAACTGGTCAAACTCCATTCTAGAAGATTCAGCTGCCTTCTTGGCAACATCAGGAATGACAATCACATCACTGTAGTCAATACGGAACTTGGCCAGCAGGTTTGCCATGCTGTAAAAATGGTTTTACATTAATATTTGGGTGGTATTTCTCTCTTAACATGTATGGTTTATTTTCTTATACATGTATACCTATGTTCAAATTTATATACAAGAATAAGAATTACCTTCTCTGTTCCATGTCAAGTTCATCTTTACGGTTGGCCAAAGCAAAGACACGCAGGTTGCAGTTAGACCACTGTGATCTTGTTGTGAGGATGTAAGGCAGCAGGAGAGTCAAACCACCATCATCATAAAGCCACCATACATCAATTGTACCCTGTGATGTGAAAAATCATTTGTAGGAACATTCATTCATTACCTGGCATTTAAATTCACTGGAAAATGAGAATGTCAAGGAATGTAATTTTAGGGTAAATTTAATAATATAGAATATAAAAAAAATCATTTTCTATAAATAATGCAAAAAAAAAAAAAAAAAAAAAAAAAAAAAGTATCAAAGGCAACTATCATAGACAACAATATTAATATATATATACACAATAGTGTCAGTGAGACAACCTATATTACTTACCTTCTTTTGCTTTCGTCTGAATGTTGTGATGTTATTGAGAACGTCCTTGCCAAGTTCAACTCCTCCTGGACCTCTGTACAGATTGGCTAGAGAAGCACGTCTCTTCAGAGCTTCCACTCCACTTGGTTCGGAAGTTACTGCTGCAGTACCAGCACGTTCAGCCTGTGGAGAGCCAGGTGGTGTCGAGGCCTCGCTGCCAGTACCATCTATAAAGATTCATTGAGGTTCAGTACACTGACATAAAATAATGAACATATAAAAATCAAGAGTAAAGAAGACATACATCAGACATATTGAGTAATATATTTAAAATAATCTTGTCTGTATCCTTTATTGCAAAAACTAAGATTTGGAATTATTGATAGATCCATTGTACAATATTGGATATACAGTCCTACAAAAAGTTAATTACAACTGGTCCTCTCTTAAAAAGTCAATTATTTTGGATTTGACTTGACTCAATTCTGTAAGGTATTAAGTGTCACATTCAACAAATAGTATTTTCTCATGCAAGGTAAGACTTGAAATAAAATAATATTCAAATTGGTCTACAGCAACATATATATATATATAAAAGAAATAATAAAATGAAATGATATTAAAATTTTTGCAAGGGACTAACCCTAATCAATCATATACTAGCACTACTAGAAAATATAACTTTAGTTACTTAAAAAGGATATCAGGATTTTTATGAACAATCACTAAGATACAAAATCATAAATGCAATTACCAACACTTAAGCTTTCACTAAAATTACAGTATCATATCAAGCAAATACAATTTAAAATAATACACAAATTACCAACTGCAGAAGATAATATAATCTGCTATCTGACTGAGTGATATCAACTATATAATATAGTGTAAATACAAAAGCAAAATAATAAAATATCAAAAGTAATCCTGAGCAATCAAACTCATGAAAAAATGGCAAATCAGACATATATTCTTATTCAGAATTGCATTCAAATAAGTCCCATCTCTTGAGTATGTAGCAAATTGCCAAATCCTTACTCAAAATTACATCAACAATTATATGACAGCCTGTGTTTGTATCTGGTTTAAACTGCTACAATTACACTCCATTACAGACTTTTTGCTACACAGGAAAGGACTGATGCCAAATCAACTTAAAAAAAGAAACTGATTCATTTAAGTGGTGATTTCTTATAGAATACAACAAAAAAAACAAAAAAACAAACATTTAAGTGGGGGAGCAAAAAGAAATAGAGAAAAATGCAGAAAAAAAGGAAAATTTACAATCACATTTATGGTCATAACACAGAGCAAGCAGAAAGAGAAAAAATACATTCTGGCTTAATACTGGTGCAAATTTTCACAATAAAAAAACACAAATCAGGCTGCAAATTTTGGGAATCATTGCGCAAAAAAGAACACCTACTTTCACTTCCTGCGACAGGACACACTTTTAACACTTTCCAAAAATCCTGCTCATTCTCTCGTATTTTCTTCCTTTTAAACACTGGGATGCCAGGGAAGAAGGGACAAAAGTTGATATACCATTACTACAATTTTTAGAAGGCTGTCATTATCATCTCATTTTGAACCTGCATATAAAAATGTTCATATTCCAATTTCTCTCCTTTCTATTCAAATTACATAAAAGTAATCAAATTTATCACTGAAATTAAACTTCATATTCTTATGAATTTAAAACATATGTCCTTTCCAGCAAAGTACATCAATAAATTTCAAACAGTACATAAATAAGCAATCATCTTTAAAGTATTCTATATGTGCTTACTTATTTTATTTGTATATGCATGTGTATTTACTTACATAGATACATACCGACATATACATATATATATATATATATATATATATATATATATATATATATATATATATATATATATATATATATATATATATATATATATATATATATATTA